TGGAAATCCTCAATTCTAATCCCAGCTCTGCCACTTGCTTAACATCAGAGTTACTCATTTGAAATGTAATTATATCATAATGTAATACCAATTACCTACCTCATGGTGCGGATGAGTTAATATCTGACGCCCTCAAAAATGCAAGGCACTCAATAAATATTAAGAATCTACATCAGAATCAGATTTAATCTCATAATTTTGTAATGCATAAATGTCAAAGCTGCAATAATCATCATCTTCATAGCACCTTTCATTCTAACAAAGCCCCAAACTCTTCATAAACTTTACCAATGGACGATACAAAACTATGGGTCAAGCTCATCCATGACACAATTCCATTTGGCTTTCCCATGCAGAGGAATCACTTGGCTGAACATCAAAATACAGCCACCTCTGGGATTGAATGCTGCAACTGCCTAGCAATACAAAACAGTTTAGAAAAGGAAATGGAAAATATCCATCTGAAATCGCTGTGGAATTAATAATAATCTTCGCAGTTCTCATTAGAAAGCTCATTTGTCCATTTCTTCCCTCTGATACTGGGCTCCTCCAAGACAAACAACAATCCTTGTGTTCCATGAAAAGAACTCCAGGCCCGAAAAATGTAGCCATCTGTCAGCAGGAAAGGGCTTTCTACATAAGGCTGTGTTCTACCTTTTACTTTTCCAGCCATTAGATTTCATTCTCCATTTAGAGTATAAAACAGAACAGAATGGTTTTTTATATTTACACTCTAAATATTTCAGAGCAGTGAGTCAGACACCAATTTCATAGACAAACAAAGCAGACTGTATGTGCTTAGGGGTTCTTTATATGATCCTAGATATTAATATTTGTTTTACTGAGAAAGAGATTAGCCAAGAGAAAAGAGTTAATGTTGCTCCATGATGTGCTGCAGAGGGTTCATGGGAGCTTCAGTATACTGTAATTCCATCCAAAAAACGAGAGATATGATCAGGGCAATTTCCCTTTCTGGGAATCTGCTAAACAATCCCTGAGAGATCATCATGATATGATAGGTTTAACTAGCATGGTTTCTGCAGAGGCAAATAATGTCTCATTAACTTATTGGAAGTCTTTGAAGGTGTCAGTAATGAGGTGGATAACGGAGAACCAGTTGACATAATTTATTTAAAGTTCCTAAAGGCCTTTGACAAGGTCCCTCCATAAGAGTCCACTAAAGAAGGTAAGTAATCATGGGATGGGGCGTGGCGGGTCAAGTTTATCATGGAGCAAATTTGGCTAGATGGCAGAAAGCAAAGAGAAGGAATGAATGGTTAATTTTAATCATGAAAAAAGGTTAACAGCCTGGGGGCGGGGGGTTTAATGGTCCCATATTACGTCCAATGTTTAATATATTTATAAACAATTTGGGAAAAGGGGAGAATAGTAAGGGGGAAAAATTTGTAACTGACACAACTACTATGTTAGTCAAGTACAGGGAAGACTAAGGCTATGTCTACACTACAGCCTATGTTGTCATAACTTACGTCGCTCAGGGGTGTGAATAAACCACCCCACTGAGCAACATAAGTTACACTGATATAAGCGCTCATGTGCCCAGCGCTAAGTCGACGGGAGAGCTCTCTCCTGTCGGCATAGAGCGTCTTCACCGGATGAACTGCACCACTGCAGCGTGGTACCCATAGACATGCCCTAAGAAATGTCAAAGGGCCTTCACCAAGCCAGGTGACTGGGCAACAAGATGGCAGATGAAATTCAATCTTGACACATGAAAAGTAATGCACATTGGAAGGAAAAATCTGAGCTCCTCATACACCTTCCAGGATTCTCAATTAATTGTATCCGCGTTGGAAAAGGACCTAGGTGTCATTGTGTACAGGTCAGTGATGACCTCTGCTCAACGCACAGCTGTGGTCAAAAAAAGCCAGAAAGATGTTAGGATGGATAAGGGATGGGATGGAGAATAATACAGAGACTATTCTAATGCCATTATACGAATCAGTGATGCACTTTCACACTTTGTGCAGTACTGGTCACCGTATCTCAAAACAGGACACTGCAGAATTAAAGGGGTTTCAGAAATAGGTGATAAGAATTATTAGAGGCATGGAAAAGCTCTCAAATTAAGAGAGAGCTTTTAAAAATAGATTGGGATGGATTATCTTAGAAAAGAGAAGACCAACAGAAGACTCAATAAAATATACAAAATAAAGACTGGCCTTAAGAAGGTAGCACAGATTCTGCTTTCACAGTCTCATGACGCAAGAACAAAGGGACATTCAAAAAAATCCTAGGCAATAAACTCCCAAATGATAAAGTAAAATATTGTTTCAGACAGAGCATATTTACCCTGTGGAACTCACGGTCACAGAATGTCAGTGAGGCCAAGAACTTAGACTGATTCAAAGGGGGATTGGATATTTCTATAGAGAACAAGACTCCCCAGAGTTGTAATAGTTAGTGCTTTAAAAGGTTTCAGAGGGGTCGCCGTGTTAGTCTGTATCAGCAAAAACAACGAGGAGTCCTTGTGGCACCTTAGAAACTAACACATTTATTTGGGCATAAGCTTTCGTGGGCTAGAACCCACTTCATCAGATGCATGGAGTAAAAAATACAGTAGGCAGGTATAAATATACAGCACATGAAAAGATGGGATTTGCCTTATCAAGTGGGGGGTCAGTGCTAATGAGGCCACTTCACTCAGGGTGGATGTGGCCCATTCCCAACAGTTGACAAGAAGGGGTGAATATTAACAGAGGGGAAATTAATGCTTTAAAAGAGAGCTTTGCAGCTTCAGGGTTCAAGCCCATCTCTAATTCTGAGGAGGTAGGAGGAAACCTTAACCATGGGGAGGACAGGGTGGGTTCCTATTGAGAGTCTTTGTTTTTTCACATCCTCATTAACAAAGAAAACTAAGAACTTCTGCATAAGGTTGATAACATAAAGGAAATTAAACTATGAAATTTCTCTTTACAGTTGAAAAAAGAAAACTTTTTTGCTGCACCTCTTGGGCCCAGTTCTGATCTCACCAAAAATGAGTTCAATGAGTTCAATCAAGCCACTCCCAATGTGAGTGTTGCAGAGAATACACAGCAATGCACAGTGGAAATTTATCCCCCCCGCCCCCAGTGTGCATTACTTCACATTTATCAACAGTGAATTTAATGTTAAAGAACAACAGCATCAAGCCTTAATTTGTAGTAATTTTTCTATTTCCACATGCATGCTCATGTTCTCTTTAAATACCAATTCAAGCGTTAGCAAAAGCCATTGAATTGACAAATAACAGCATCTCTTTCGCCCTGCTTGATCTTGCTCACAGACATCCTCATGAGACTGTAAACCTCTCTCTTGCTAGTAGGTTATTTCTTCAGACTGCATCCGATGAAGTGAGCTGTAGCTCATGAAAGCTTATGCTCAAATAAATTGGTTAGTCTCTAAGGTGCCACAAGTACTCCTTTTCTTTTTGCGAATACAGACTAACACGGCTGTTACTCTGAAACCTCTTCGGACTGTGTTCCACATCAAGGACGCTGCCTTTTGAAAACTGGATTTCATATTTCATCCAAACCTGTGTTTTTATAAGTGAAGCTATAAAATTCAATTTTATGGCATGAGAACAGCAGTTTTATTCTTTGCGGTTCTCTTAGACAGGAATCCAAAGAGAACTTGGGTGAACTATCCAATAGCTTTATGTCTTTGAATGAAACTGATCAATTGTGGAAAAAAGACAGACATTTAAAACTCTGCCGGGCATGTTTTCAGTATGGTGAGCAAAGAACTGGATCCAGACTGCCACTGACTTTAACGGACAGTTCAGCTGCCAGTGCTCTGCATAATGCGCTGAAATTAAATTTACATCCCTGGCTGCATTTGCCACACACAAAAAAAGTGTGAATTTTCTATCGTGTCATCCCCTAGACAGAAGCGTGCACCTTTGTTTAAGATCCACCAACTGAAATATATCTTTTGGGGAAAATAATCTTTAAGGTCAATAATCCTATGAAATATTAAATGCAAACAAATGTTAACATCAATCTCAATGCAAAATTAAATGCACATAAATTATGTAAAATTGGAGTGTTTTTATAACCAGGAAAGTCACTATGTAACAATGCCAACTTCTTACTCAGAAGATGTGCTAGCTGCCCTGTGCTTACTCAGAGTTATACCATCTGACTTTAATGGCATAATATCTTTTTACAACATTTTATTACTCCGGTGAGCATCACAATGCCAACACTGCTGTACAGTGGGGAGTGAGTTATTTCTATTCTGGCTCTTGCTGCATCAGTAGAATTGTTAACCAACCTCCAATTGCAGAATCTCTATTCCAGGTGACAATGCACAAGCCAGAAAAGACCAAGGTTGACTTTCAGATCCTGGATGAATTTGTGGGACTGTCAGTTAGAAAATAGAAAAAGGTTTTACCTGTAAACTAAATAAGTGTCATCTGAAGACACAGAGATGATCAACAAGGAACTTCATAGTGCCATTTGTACAAGAGTCATTTCTCAGAGTACAGACACACTTTTAGGTTTCCACAGCAACCTTAAAAATGACCTCTAACAGATTTTATTTATTTATTTGGACTTGTGCCCTTTACTGCTCCTCTGATGTGTAAAGGCTTGAAAAGGTTTTTTGTTAAGTTTGTTTGCGGGAGTTTTTCTACTTAGAAATACAAGGAATGTCAAGTCTGGTCTTCCCTTTTTGCTGAAGAATCTCTGGGAGGTCTTGGAGATGTTTATTGTGAGCTCTTCTACTTTAATTGAAAGGACAGGGGAAATTGGCTCTGAATTTCATGGTTTTTGTGCAATTACAGCCTCATCCTGAATGGTAGAAAGCACCTTCAGCTCTCACTGAAGTCAAAAGGAACTGAGCATGCTTTGCACTCGACAGATTTGGGCCCTCAAAACAATGCTAATGTTATATCAGTGGACCCTCTTGCACTTCTGCATTTCTCTTTCCTTCTCTCTTTTAAACCAAATCTATCAAATAAGCAGCATCTTAGAGATTAAACAATGTAAATACATTACCTCAGTAACAAAGAGAGTGCGGGGGTCAACGATGTCCAAGAAGTGCCTGAATCGGCCATAAAACGAAGTCTGGAGGACAGAAAGAAAGAGAGTTAGACAAGACGGTCCTTTGTAAAGCAGAAAGGCATTTTATTGTTATTTCCTCTGGAGAACTACATAGTAACTAGGAATGCTATTTACTAAAAAGCTGACAAGATGTCTCTTCTTTATAAACTCTCTATAGTGGACAAGGAGATCATCCAATCTAAGCTTTGAGGCTCTGAACAAGTACATGGATGCCAGATTAAATGACAGTGTCATCAAAATGCAGTTTATTTCCACAACTGAACAGAAATATTTTTCACAATTTAAGGAGGAAAAAGATATTTTTAAACATCCCCCTAGAGTTTTCAACCAGAGCTCCCAATCCTGCAAAGGGCCAGATGTGGGCGCACTGATCCTTTGCAAGATCGGAACCTAATATACTGCAGTCTTGTGCCAGCACATGAGAACCTGGCAGTGAAATGGTTGTGCCCATTTTCATCATCCAAGATGCCAGGTGCAAATTAAACTCTCTATTTTTTAGTAATCTCAGGTGAATCAGAAACACAGTTAAGGGTTTCTTGCTGTTTTTTCTAAAATAAGTTTTAACCCGAAAGTACTGAGTGCTTTACAACACCCACACACGGCCCTGGCCTGGAAGATTTTATGCTGCATGAAGCAGTCCATATTGATTTGGCTAATTTGAAGAGCCTAATGAGTACATGTAAGGATTGAAATGGTTTTTCAAGTCTCTAAACTTGATTAATGAAGGCCAGGATGCACAAGCTTTTCCTAACCAATTACCATCTTGGTCCCTTGCTATTTTAGATGACTGCAGGCAAGCTTTAACTGGGCATCTTTACCTTGCGTTTTTCATTATCACACACTCCTGTACCATGAATTATTACCAGTAAATATTTATATTATGGTAGTACTCAAAGGCCACAATCAGGATTAGAGGCCCTTGTGCTATACAAACACAAAGCATTTATAATCTAAATGACACAAACAGAAAAATCTCTAGCATGTGGATACAACATTCAAACAAATGAATATGGTGAAGAATTGGCACAGCTTTGGTGGTTACATATATTGTAATTCCCTCTGAATCGCTTCTGACTCACTCCAGTGCAGAGGAACTCCACTAATTCTGCTCACCTCTGCAGAAAAACAAAACAAAACTATTTTCCAGGGGCACAGATTAGAGTGAATTGGACTTTGAACACTCATTACTAGTCACTTGCACTCTGTAGCGGGTGTCACTGATACTCCTGAGGGCATTCTGCACCAAAAAATTAAAAATTCTGTGCCAAAAAATTAAAATTTTTGCAAAATTCTTGAGGCTCGGTGAAGGGTCTCTGTATGAGGGGATCTGGATGCCTGGGACTTGGGCGGATGGGGGAGCAGCTCCCTGTACAGGGATCCCTCCCTCTGAAGCTGAGGAACGATGGGTGCAGGAAGCAGGGGGGGTTGGGTTGTTTGCAGAGCTTCCTGCAGCTGGGGGAGAAATCTGGGGGTGGGTCTGATCCAGCTCTGGATGCCATGCAGGGGAAGAGAAAATCCTGTCCTCCCCAGCCAAGACGGAACTAGCAGCTTAGCCCACCACATGGTAGGAGCCACCAGCTGTATCTTCCCCAGTCCCACCTCCTGCCCCACAGTGATTTACCTCTCTGCCCTGGGCACCCAAAACATACTGCTGGGGAGGGTCGCATGACCGCTCTTATGGCTTCCCTTTGCTTCCCCATCAGAAAGTTATTTTTCTGCGGGGAAGCAAAGAAATCTGCAGGGGACATAAATTCTGAGCATGTGCAGTATTCCCCCAGGAGTACACTGAGAAGCACTTGTATCCAAAGAACACAGCACTTGTTGAATGATTTGGCAGCTCCTGATGCTGGTAGTTGTCATGAGTATGGCATATTGAAAACTGCATTAAAATTATGAGCTGTCACTTTGAACCCTAAGGGGTTGTCTGGTCCTGCTTGCAAGGTAGGGAGTTATGTAGGGAAGTGTGCAATTTGTGTCCTCAGCAGTTTGCAGACAGACAGCCTAGTGTAAGTAGGGTTGCCAACTGACTAATCGCATAAACCCAAACACCCTTGCCCTGCCCTGTGCCTAGGAGCCATAGGGACGTGCTGGTCACTTCCGGGAGCCGCGCAGAGCCAGGGCAAGTAGGGAGCCTTAGCCCCACTCCACTACCAACCGGACTTTGGCCTATTAAAATCTCCTGGATTGCCTTTAATAGTCACTGGGAGATTGAGGCCAATTCCAGGAGACTCCCTGCCAATCTGCAAGGGTTGACAACCCCAAGTGTAAGTGGGACGAGTTGTACCTCTCTGTTTTGGGGTTCTTGTGTGTTATTCTAAGAAATAAAGTAGTGTCATGTTGCAACTTTCTAGCAAGAGTATTTTATGTTTTCATCTCACTTCTCTGTTTGTATGCTGTGAAAAATCCTTTGCTTTAAAGGAGATAGTCAACTACTCACCAAAGTGCACCCCATGCAGAGACAGACAGACTGCCAACTCCCAGCCATTCCCCCCACTGCTCTTAGTCAAGGAAGCCAAAGAAAGAGGAAAAAGAAGGATAAGGTCTAATTGGCTCCTGAGCTTGGTATCCACTTTCTATTCTATTCGACAGGTTTCAGAGGAACAGCCGTGTTAGTCTGTATTCGCAAAAAGAAAAGGAGGACTTGTGGCACCTTAGAGACTAACCAATTTATTTGAGCATGAGCTTTCGTGAGCTACAGCTACATCCGATGAAGTGAGCTGTAGCTCACGAAAGCTCATGCTCAAATAAATTGGTTAGTCTCTAAGGTGCCACAAGTACTCCTTTTCTTTATTCTATTCGAGGCAGGGCTGGTAGTGCTGCTGTCTTTAGCTCAGGTTACCTAACACTTTCCATTGTAAGACCCTGTTTTCAGTTGTTCGTAATTTTGCCAACCTTTTACCATTTGGACGGACGTTTTCCATGGCAGGTGTATGCCTCAGACTGATTAACAATTCAGCAGTTTTTCAGAATGAGGTTAGGGAAAAACTGGCTGTTTCACCCATGTTAAAAAATTCTTCAGTTTCGATGAGGAGCTCCAGCACCCCCAGGCTTTGGAGCAGGGACCTGAAATATGGCAGGGAGCTTGCCCCGATGTCAGGGATGTGCTTTTTGATAACCCCATGAAAGTCTGCCACATGTAGCCAAGTTATGAGCCTCTCAAAATCGCAGTTCACACATACTCAGTAGAAAGTTGTTATAAATTGACAGATAAATTCTCCAAACATTCCATCTGCCCTGAGCCTGCTCCAGCCTGGGGCCACAAGGGCTGAATAAGACTCTCTCACATAATTGCACCCCCCATCTACTATGGGTTTGCTGTAGTGCTAAGCACAAGAACTGAAAGCAGGGAAGCTGTTTCTTCTGTGCTCTTAATGCCCTAGCTAAGTCAATGAAAGCTGTGCTGTTAACACAAATTGCTAGAAAATGCTAAACTCTCTAGGGAAAAGAAAAATCAGGTCATAGATATCACATATTGGGCACGCAAAATTAATGGGCACGTTTGACCTTAATCTCTCTTGTGCCCCAGTTCCCCATCTGTAAAACAAATAATAATGCCACCTCTCCTCAGAGGGGTGGTTTGAAGGTAAATTCATTGTTTATGAAGCACTTGGAGGCTATCATGATGAGCACCATATATGAGCCCACGAGGAAGTTAATATTTCTGTTTTCAGAGCAGGCTTCGAATAGTGTGCAGCAAATAAGGCCTGGGGCCACACGCTGACCATATAGGATAAAACAAAATATTGAATAGCTGCTCATTAAGTGAGCACCATCTATCCTGTACACTGAATGAGACAAGAGTGCTGTGGAAAAATAGATTATGGTCATGTCATTAAAGAGTATTGTAAGACATACGCATGAGAGGGGCAAATTAAGGTTGCAGAGGCAACATTAATTCTAGCATTTCCTAATTGTAGAGTGCTTAGACTTTACAACATTAACTTCATTTTAAAGTTCTTAGACACCCTCATCACCATAGTATGAGTGCTTTGCAGTAGTGGATTAATTGACATGATTAACATCTATCACAGGGGTGGGCAAACTTTTTGGCCCGAGGGCCACATTGGGGTCGCGAAACTGTATGGAGGGCTGGGTAGGGAAGGTTGTGCCTCCCCATACAGCCTGGCCCCTGCCCCCTATCCGCCCCCTCCCACTTCCCACCCCCTAACTGGCCCCCTCAGAACCCCTGACCTATCCAACCCCCCCTGCTCCTTGTCCCCTGACCACCTTCTCCCGGGACCCCCCGCCCCTAACCGCCCCCCCGAACCCCACCCCCATCCAACCCTCCCCTGCCCCCTAGCCACACCCCCGCCCTCTGACAGCCCCCCCAGGACTCCCATGCCTATCCAACCCCCCCTGCTCCCCGTCCCCTGACTACCCCCTGGAACCCCCTGCTCCTTACCCAACCCCCCCACTCCCTGCCCCCTTACCAAACTGCTCAGAGCAGCAGGAGCTCACAGTCCCACCGGAGCCAGCCACACCGCCCGCGCTGCCCAACCGGTAGGAGCAGCAGGCCAGAGCGCTGGCAGCGCGGCATGGCAGGGGAGGGGCCGGGGGCCAGGGAGCTCAGGATCCGGGCAGGACGGTCCCACAGGATGTAGCCCACAGGCCACAGTTTGCCCACCTCTGATCTATCATGTGTGGCGCTCTCTCTCTCTCTCTCACACACACACACACACACATTATCTTATCCTGAAGGCTCCCACTCTGTGGTCTCCTACTTTTTCCCCACTGCCCCTCCTTTTGGTTTTGTCAAACAAAACTTTAACAAGCAACGGAGACATTCAGAAGAGCCTCAAGATTCAAGATCCTCAAGATTCAAACACGAACAGGGGAGGTATCTGGACCTGACATCTCCTTTGCCTTGCAGTTAGTGTTGTTATTTAAACCTGTGCAAAGTAAGTGTGAAGTGAAATGCTATCAGGTAGTGTTTTACACCCACTTTGTGAAGTTGTAACGAGTGCAAGACAGGGGAGAATCAAGCCCTTCTGTGCTTGTTGGTT